CCCATGTGTTGTACCAGGTTGTCACCAAACAACCTTGACAAGTGAGATCAGTTACTACCTTTCGACTGGGTTGTTCAACACTATGATAGCCTTACCGTATTATTTGTGCCCTTACTTTAGAATAATACTTGGGCTACGGACGTTTCGAGAATGGCCACCATATGTGCTCATAGGGTTCTCACTATCAAGATTTGAAACACTTGATACCCTCGTCACGGTTCTACCATTCTAAGGACATATATCAGTACATACAATGATGATTTATGCGATATAGTATAAAATGCCTTTTATTGAATGGAAATGGGAGAGTATATCAATGGACTTTATCACAAGCCTTCCAAGAGTTCAGAAGGGGTATAATGCGATATGGGTGATAGTAGACAGATTAACCAAATCAGCACATTTTCTTCCAGTAAATATAGTACCATAGTAGATCAGTTGACCCAGATTTATATCAGAGAGATAGTTAGACTCCATGGGGTGCCTAAGACCATAGTATCAGATAGAGATTCCAGATTTGTTTCAGCTTTCTAGACCAGTTTATAGAGAAACTTAGGTACCAGGTTAGCATTTAGCACAACATACCAACCTCACATGGATGGCCAAACTGAGAGAACAAATCAGGCACTTGAGGAAGCATTGAGAGAGTATTGTATGGATTATAGAATGACCTGGCATGAGATATTACCCTTGGTGGAGTTTGCCTATAATAACAGTTATTAGTCTACAATTAAGATGACTCCTTACGAAGCCCTGTATGATAGACGATGTAGATCTCCACTGCATTAGGATGAGATAAGAGAGAGAGATGTTTTGAATACAGCTCTTGGGCCTGAGATAACTCAGAAAATGATAGATGATATCAAGTTGATCAGAAGTAGAATGAAACAAGCCCAAGATAGACAAAAAAGCTACGCAGATTTAAGGAGAAAAGATGTTGAATTTGAAGTGGGTGATAAAGTGTTTATTAAGATTTCCCTCCTACAAGCGGGTAATGCGGTTTGGTGGTAAAGGAAAACTTGTGCCTAGATATATTGGCCCCTTTGAAGTGTTACAACGAGTGGGAAAGGTGGTTTACAAATTGGCGCTACCACTAAATATGGATAATGTCTTCCATGTCTCAATGCTTCAAAGGTATGTTAATGATCCCTCCCATATATTAAAAGTAGAAGAAGTGAACTTAGAAGAGAATCTTGTTTATGAGGAGCGTCTAGTACAGATATTGGATAGAAAGATTAAGGAGCTGCAAAGTAAGAGTATTCCATTAGTAAAAGTCCTATGGAGGAATCATAAAGTAAAAGAAGCTACATGGGAAGTAGAACAAGATATGAGGAGCCGCTATCCTGAATTGTTCGTTTGAATTTCGGGGACAAAATTCTTATAAGGGGGGAGAACTGTAATGCCCACATCAAGGTACGTAGCTTTATTTATGCCCTAATACCCTTAGTTGAATTTTATTAAAGTTATCTTGAACAAGTGTGAAGAAAATTCCCTAAAATTTCATTAGGGGTAAAATGGTCTTTTCACTCATAATTAGTTAAAAAAGTGGGGAGTGAAAAGAGATAGAATAACATGGAGAAGTTAATAAAAGTAAGGGTATTTTGGTAATTTAATAAGTGACATAGATGGAATTTTTAGAAAGTGTAAGGGTAAAATAGGAATCTAATATACATATATATATATATTATTTTATGATATTAAGAGTTGAAGAAGAGAAACCCTAGCCACTCTACCCTCCATTCAAGCCATTCTCTACCCAAATTTCTTCATTAAATTTCCAAGGAAATTCATAGGATTTTGGCTAACTTTTGATAGATTTTCAATCCTAAGCATCCAGAGGTAAGATTCTTGCACCAAGAAGTGAGATTAAATTTTAAAGTTTTGAATTCTTACGGTTGTATATGCTTAGGGTTTGAGAAGGAGGGAATTCTACCAAAGAGAGAGTATAGAGTTGGAGTTGCTCAAATTCAAGGTAAGTAAGCCTAATTTGAACCTTAATTTGAGCAAGACTTTGTTGAATGAATTTTTTTGCATGTTTGTATGTGATGGTATGAGAGAATTATGGGCTATTTTTTATGTTTATTGATGTGTATAAATTCTAGCCATGAGAAGTAGTGTATGGTTATGTGATGATTTGGTGAAGTTGTGGAAGATTTTGTGTTGAGATTTTTGGAGTGTAGAGAAGTGATAAATTTAGCCAGGTTTGATACTCAATTTAGTGAGTTTTTGGCTCACAATTTGGTTTAATTAGAGAGTTGTGGAAGTGTAGCCAACATGGTAGTAGCATGTGCATATGAATTGTTTGATGGAAATCCTAAGAGAAAACATGTTACCATGATTGCCTTGTCAAATCTGTGACCTTATAAGTGATTTTTGAGCATTGTACCCATCGGGTTGGTCCTTAAACATAAAAGTTGTAGCCCTTTCTCTGAGCTTTAAAATGAGACCAAGATCATAGCAATCTGATATGTATAGCGCGAGATATGCCTTCTTGAATATGACTTGCGCAGAATGACTACCTCAAAAGTACCTCCAATTTATTAGTTATTTTTAGTCTAATAATCTGTGATTGATTTCAAGTATGGGAATGTTGTTGGTAGAGAATACTAGTTCCATAATGATATCTTTATATGCTATAATGCATTCTCACTCACATTTGCATTTAGAAAGAATAGCAAAGAATGAGCATATTTCCATGCACATACACATGTATGAGAACATTAAAGAACAAAGAGAAAGAGAGTTTGGATGAATTGTAGAGAATTTCTTTTATGCATGTATATGCTTATATATGAAGAATTGTTGATGGAATGGATATTGGATGATGGTTAGAATTTATCCATGAGAAGAAGTGTTTGTGTACTTGATGTTTGATGAGAGTTTGGATAAATTATGGAAGAATTGGAGTAGAATTTATGGAGTGTGAATCCTAGACAGGTTTGACGTTAATCTTGGTGTGTTTTATTCCAAATTTTGGTGGCTTAGAAGAGAGCTAGAAATGTAGCCAAATTAGAGTTGATGTGTGCATATAAATTGTCCGATGAAATGTCAAAGAGAAGTGCATACATGATTATGATTATTTGATATCTTGAGATGAGTTGGTAGTTGGTAGAGAACGACATGTTCACATTCCATATTGCATTATTACATCCAAACATGTGAATTTAGAAAGAATAATAAGCATGAGTGATAATCCGAGGATTATACTACTTTATGTAGGCTTTTGGGCCGGATTTTAGATACTTCTTAGTTCGTTTATGCCTGAATTGCTACTCAATTTTATATATTTTATGTTTTGGGCCGCAACGTGCATTTTTAGCAAATAATGAGCGAATTGGAGTTTCTGGACCCAGAAGCAAGCGAATCTCAGAATTTGGGAAAGTTCTAAAGCAGAGTTGAAGCACTATGAAGTTTGTTCCCATGGGAAAGCATCGAAGATCAAATATTCAAGCAAGGAAGCAAGCGGAGGGCAATTCTATAAATTCAGAATTTTCTAGGAAGGTTCGCCGTGGCGAAAGAAGCTAGGCACGAGTTTACCTTAGGTCGTCGCCGCGGCGAAGTCTACGAAATTTTGTTTTCTCCAAAACGCGTAGTTTTATTTTAGGAAAGGTTTTAGGTTTTTGAGGGAACTATATAAGAAAAAGCTTGCCATTTTGGTGGGAGTTCGTCTGGTTTCGTTTGTTCTAGAGTAGCTTTTACATTTGGAGAGAAGATTTGAGCTTTAATCTTGTGGATTCTTCAACTAAGGGAGATCTCTACTCTTTTCTCTTTATTTCAATATGTTGACTACTGTGTTTATTGTTTTTCTTGCTGTTTGTGTTAATTTAGTTATGAACTAACCCATTTTGGGTTAGGGTTATGATGTAATTTAGATTTCTATGGATTAATCAATTGATTATTGTTGCTTTTATATTCTATTGCATAGATTGTGTGATTATTCCAATTTTTATTGATTTTACTTGTTGAACATGATGAGATTGAGAAATGAATCATGTTGAGCTTCTTGGATAATCACCATTGTTATTTTGAATGCTAGAGATAGATTTGAGAAATAATGAAATCAATCTAGGATTTTATTAGCCTAATGAACTTGGATTTGTTAATCTTCAATTTGTTGGGTGCGGAAGATTAATAGGGAAAAGTAGGAATTCATAGCCTGAGAAGGTATGTTTAATCTTTCCCATAAATCCAAACAATTTTTCGGTTTCTCCAACTTGAAAACAAATAGGAAATTCAGTGCTTAGCAACCAATCCTCGTGGGAACGATACCCACTCATCACTTTATTACTTTGTGCGACTAGTACACTTGCTATATTTGCATGTTGTAGTAACAACGCATCAAGTTTTTGGCGCCGTTGCTGGGGATTGATTTTTGTGTTAACATTGAGTTTTTCTTGTGTTAGCTAGACTGGAGTTTAATTTTTGTTTTTGCTTTTGTTTTAATTGTGTGTTAGTTTAATTTTTGTTGTTCTTTTCTGTGAGCTTGTGATTGCACTTTTTCTCTCTTTCTGTGTAGTTCATGCGAAGAGCTAGACGTCAGCCAGTGGTTCCTATTGATCCTGAGATTGAAAGAAACAAAAGAAAGAGAAGCTATAGTTGAACCAGAGGTCATAGTAATTAAGATGGCAGAAAATAGAACATTAAGGGAATTTTCAGTTCCCTCAGTTGATGGAAGTGGGTCGAGCATAACTAGACCAGTAGTACAAGCCAACAACTTTGAAATAAAGCCGACAATCATCTAGATGATCCAGTAGTCGGTACAGTTTAAAGGGGATTTGAAGGAAGATCCAAATCTGCACATTGCAAACTTTTTGGAGATTTGTGATACCTTCAAGTCCAACGGAGTGTCAGATGATGCCATTAGATTGAGATTGTTCCCTTTTTCATTGAGGGATAAAGCTAAGGGATGGTTAATGGCACTACCATCAGGAACGATCACAACATGTAACAAATTATCACAGAAGTTCCTGACTAAATTCTTTCCTCCAGCAAAATCAGCGAAATTGAGAAATGATATCACATCTTTTCTACAAGAAAAGTCTAAATCATTATATGAGGCATGGGGAAGATACAAGGAACTTAAGGAGGTGTCCACACCATGGGTTGCCAGTTTGGATGCAAGTCCAAACGTTTTACAATGGATTAATGGTTAATGTGCAAACCATGGTGGATGCAGCATTGGGAGGAGCATTGCAAAATAAGACACCGGAAGAAGCTCATGAGTTGCTTGAAGTTTTGGCAAGTAACAAATATAAAAGACCTAATGAGAGGGTGCAACTGAAGAAATCTATGGGTCTTCATGAAGTTGATGCATACACTGCCATTTCAGCCCAACTCACTGCACTTCAGAAGCAGTTGGGAAGTATGCATGTAAACTCTATTCAAGCACCTCAACTAACTTGTGATTTTTATGCAGGTACTCATATGAGCAGTGAATTTCAAGTGGGGAACACGTTTGCTTTAGTGTCTTCTTTGTCAGAACAGGTTAATTACTTGGTAGGAAATCAAAGGCAACCGAACAATCTGTACTCCAACACATATAATCCTGGTTGGAGGAATCATCCGAACCTATCTTGGGGTAATCAGAATGAATAGAATTAGCAGAACAATCAATGGAACCAAAGAACGATGCCAAACAACCAAGCGGGGGTAAACAATCAACCGGGAGAGCAAAGAGTTACAAAACTGGAGGACATGTTTGGAAAGTTTATGCAAGAGACCACAAGTTTCATGAATGAGACCAGGACTAATTTTAGAAACCAAAGGGCGTCCATTCGGAACTTGGAAGTACAGGTGGGTCAATTGGCTGATAAGCTAAATGAGAGACCACAAGGTTTCCTACCAAGTAACACAGTGACAAACCCACGTGAACAAACACATGCAATAACACTACGGAGTGGGACGGTCTTGGAAGAGCCACACAATCAGGGAAAGAAGGAAGCCCACCAAAAGAAAATGAAGATTCTAATGAGGAAGTTGACGAAGAAATAATTGCTGAAGAGAAACTAACTAGTTCTAGGGAAGAAGAACAAAAGCGGGAAGAGAGGCAAAGACAAAAGAAAGAGAAATTTCCATTCTCCAAGATACCACCAGAGTTGGCACATCACACTCCTCCGATGCCTTTTCCTCAGAGACTCAAGAAGAAAAATCAGGATGAACAGTTTGCCAAATTCATTGAAATATTTAAAAAACTGCATATTAACGTTCCTTTTACAAATGCATTGCAACAGATGCCGAGCTACACGAAATTTCTCAAGGAGATTTTATCAAACAAAAGGAAGTTAGAAGATGAGGAAACAGTGATGCTCACGGAGGAGTGTAGCGCAATTCACAGAAAAAGCTACCCCCGAAACTCAAAGATCCAGGGAGTTTTACTATTCCTTATATTATAGGAGACATTACTTTTGAGAGAGTTTTATGTGATTTAGGTGCAAGCATCAATCTAATGCATTTTTTTGTTTTCAGGAGATTGGGAATTGGTGAAGTAAAGCCAACAACTATGTCGTTGCAGCTTGCAGATAGATCTATAAAACATCCAAGGGGTATAGTGGAAGATGTTTTGGTGAAGGTGGACAAAGTTATCTTTCCGACCGACTTTGCTGTGTTGGACATGGAAGAGGATAAGGAAATGCCTCTCATTTTGGGCTGACCATTTCTGGCCACAATAAGAGCCCTCATTAATGTGCAAGAAGGGAAGTTGCTATTAAGGGTTCAAGATGAAACAGTAACATTTAATGTTTTTGAAGCCATGAAATTTCCATTAGAGTCGGATTCGTGTTTTAGTGTAGATTGGTGGATAAACTAGTGACAGAGGCTATTGAAGAGAACACCCCTCAACTACCTCTAGAAGCATGTATTGCCCAATCGAAAACAATAAAGGTAGATGAACCGGCGAAGAATGAGTGTGCTAGATTTTTGGAAGCACTTGAACCGATTAATGAGAGCCAAGATCTAGAATTTGAGGAATTTGATTTTGAGAAAGAGAAGCAAAAGGAAAGAAATGAAGAACCTCCAAAACTTGAACTAAAGCCTTTACCTTCTCACCTTAAATATGTATATCTTGGTGAATTCGAAACCTTCCCAGTAATCATCAATTCAAGGTTGAGTAAATTGGAAGAAGAGTGGTTGATTCGGGTGTTAAGGGAACATAGATCTGGATGGACTATTTCAGACATTAGAGGAATCTCTCCATCGTTTTGTATGCATAAGATACTTATGGAAGATGATGTCAAGCCTAGGGTGCAACCACAACGGAGATTGAATCCTTCGATGAAGGAAGTGGTGAGAAAAGAGGTGGTGAAACTTCTAGATGCGGGCATAATTTATCCTATTTCTGATAGTCCATGGGTGAGCCCGGTGCAAGTGGTTCCAAAGAAAGGTGGTATCACAGTGATAAAGAATGAAAGCAATGAATTGATACCAACCAGACAGTCATGGGTTGGAGAGTGTGCATTGACTACCAAAAATTGAATGAAGTGACAAGGAAGGATCATTTCCCACTTCCATTCATCGATCAAATGTTGGAGAGATTGGTAGGGCATGCTTACTACTGTTTCCTAGATGGTTTTTCAGGATATAATCAAATTGCCATTGCTCTTGAAGATCAAGAGAAGACAACTTTCACTTGTCCCTATGGCACCTTTGCATACAGAAAGATGCCTTTTGGATTATACAATGCACCGGCCACATTTCAGAGATCCATGATGTCTATCTTTGGTGACATGGTGGAACGGTTCATAGAAGTCTTCATGGATGACTTCTCTGTTTTTGGTTCATCTTTTGACAATTGCTTATCTAATCTTTCATTTGTTGTGCAGCGATGTCAAGAGACGAACTTGGTGCTCAACTAGGAGAAATGCCACTTCATGGTACAGGAAGGAATTGTACTCGGTCACAGAATTTCAAAGGATGGCATTGAAGTGGATCGAGCAAAAATAAAAGTGATAAAGAAGCTGCCACCACCTGCAAATGTTAAAGCAGTTCGGAGTTTCTTGGGGCATGCGAGCTTTTACAGACGGTTTACCAAGGATTTTTCAAAAATCTCTAAACCCCTTTGCAATATACTGATTAAAGATGTTGCTTTTGACTTTGATGATGAATGCATGCATGCTTTTCAAACTCTTAAGAAATTGTTAGTGTCTGCACCTACTATTGCAATTCCCGGTTGGGGACTACCATTTGAATTGATGTGTGATGCTAGTGATTTCACACTAGGAGTAGTATTAGGACAGAGGAAAAACAAAGTGTTGCATGTAATTCAGTATGCTAGCAAGACACTTACCGATGCACAATTGAATTACACCACTACTGAAAAAGAGCTATTAGCTGTGGTTTTTACATTTGACAAATTTTGTTCTTACTTGCTAGGTGCTAAGGTGATAGTCTACAAGAATCATTCGGCACTCAAACATCTATTGGCTAAGCAAGAAGCAAAACCACAAATGATAAGATGGATCCTATTACTACATGAGTTTGAGTTGGAAATTCGAGATAAAAAGGGGTCAAAAAATGTGGTGGCGAATCATTTGTTGAGGATTGAACGACCAAGTTAGGGAAGTGAAGAGGAACCCAAAATCAAAGAAACCTTCCCAGATGAGAAATTGATGAGAGTGGAAGAAGCACTATGGTATGCAGATTTTGCAAACTGCTAGTCATCAAAAGTGCTCCCAAATGAAATGACCTTTCAGCAGAAGAGGAAGTTTTTCTCTGACTTGAAGTATTATTTCTGGGAAGAACCATTTTTGTACAAACAGTGTTCCGATTAGATGATACGTAGGTGTGTACCAGAAGAGGATATGGAAAGTATTCTACGACATTGCCATGAGAGAGAAGTGGGTGGTCATTTTGTAAGAACTAGGACAGCGACCAAGGTCGTTCAGTCTGGATTTTATTAGCCAACCCTATTCAAGGATACCTTCCAGATGGTTCAAGAATGTGACCAATGTCAACGGAGTGGAAACATTTCGAAGAAAGATGAGATGTTGTTGAACAATATCCTAGTTGTTAAGATGTTGATGTGTGGGGAATTGACTTCATGGGTCCTTTCCCTAATTCTTGTGGGAACATGTACATTTTGGTAACGGTTGATTATGCATCGAAATGGGTGGAAGCAGTTGCATTGCCATCCAATGATGCCAGGGTGGTGGTTAATTTTGTGAGAAAGAACATTTTCTCAAGATTTAGGGTACCACGGGCAATCATCAGTGATGGAGGATCGCATTTTTGCAATAGGCAATTAGATGCGCTGTTGGGAAAATGTAGAGTGAAACATAGAGTTGCGACACCATATCAGCCACAGACTAGCGGGCAAGTGGAACTGTTAAACAGAGAACTTAAGGAATTTTAGAGAAGACAGTTAATGCATCTAGGAAGGATTGTTCATGGAAATTGGATGATGCATTATAGGCCTACCGCACTACATTTAAGACTCCAATTGGTATGTCTCCATTTAGGATGGTCTATGGGAAGGCATGTCACTTGCTGCTAGAACTCGAGCATAAGGCATACTAGGTAGTCAAGCAGCTAAACATGGTTCGGACCCTTCATAGTTACAAGAGTCTACCCATACGAGGCGATGGAAGTGTCACATGAAGAAGAGGGCACATTTAAAGTCAATGGATAGAGATTGAAGTCATACATTGATGGGGTGATGAGTTGCAAGTCATTTCCTATCCAACTTGACATCACGACATAAGGACTTGAGAAAGTCGAGCTTCTGACTATAAACAAGCTCTTCTTGGGAGGCAACCGAAGTGTTTCCATTTGTTTGTTGTTTTAAATTTGTTTAGTTGTTATATGAATTAGAATGATTTTGATTTCGTGTGTTTTTAGGTGTTTTAGGTGAAATATCGAACTAAGGCGAAAAAAAGAAATTTTCCAGATTTCGCGCGGCGAAATACATTTTGCACAAAATGGAATTTGAAAAGTCCCAGATTTCGCCACAGCGAAGTTTGTTCTTTGCCGAGGCGATGCGGCGAAACAATTTTCTTCGCCGCGGCAGAAAGAGTTTTGCGAAATTTGACTAAGGGAAATTCACCGCGACGCTGTATGCACTGGAAATTTTCGCCGCGGCGAAGAATTTTTCTTTGCCACGGCATCAACTGGG